ATATCACGTCCGTTCCTCAGGAATTCGTGCAGACGAGAAGAATAATTACTCCCTGGAAATTGGCACAGCCTCACATGTATAGCCTCAATCAGCCAACGCCTCATTGAAAGGTGAAAGTTATGGAGCAATTCCAGGCTGTAAAATTGCGATTTGGTGCACTCATTTGGAAACTCAATACGATCGGAAATAAATCACGAGCGTCTTTTTCAGCAGCCATGACCCAGTGGAAATCAAAGCAAGACGGTCGTTGAATTTTATCGATCCCCCGGCTGACTTTCGCCAACACCGTACACCAGCGCTCTTGACCCGGCATATGGGCTTCTGAAAGCGAAACGGATCGCTCTTGGAAGTGCCGCTGACGGCGAGGAGAGGACGAGCTTGAGCCACGGCTCGCTTGAGGTCAGATACCTGTACGGTCTGATCGGGAGCGCTTGCCTGTACAAAACAGCGAGTAGGCCGGAAATTTATGGAGTCCAAACGTTGTACACACCATTGCATGCAGAGGTCTAGAGTACAGAACAGTTTGATATGGTTTGAGAATGTGTCTGTAGAGGATGAGCCTTCCTCTGTACCCGAGTACCTTGTGCTATCGTAGACCTCTTATTACTGGCCACGGAAAGACGACCAGAATTGAGTACCTTCCTCCATCAGACAAGTGCGGGTCAAAGAAACTTTCCCAGGCGTCTGAGCCGGCTCCAAGGAGTGAAAATTGCCCCGAATGAAGACGGCAAGGAGCCATTCTGTGGGGTGCTACCAGCAGACAATGCGGACAAAGGCGGGAAATGAAAAGCAGCCGATCGGTCATCGGAGCCAGAGTGGCTTCCAACAGGATACAAATTGCCATCCATCTGTCCGGTGAGTTCGAAGGTCAGGTCAGTTACAAGCACTGCCAATTTTGTGAAAATGGTTGGGTTAAACAATGCAATTTTACGCATGCCAACGATGCGAAGCCTTGAAAGTACATGACGTCACAGGCCATCGGGAGTAAATGAAACGCCAACCGAAGATGCGTTAAATAAAAAGACGCGTTCATATGGATCGATGGTGCTGCATGACGTCAAATTTTAATTAAAAGGAGGTTCTCCACTTTGAGAAGATCCACTAAATCAGAGCTCTTTGCCAATAATTTTGAGTGAGCGGACCCGCATCAACACGCTCGATCTTAAACATAGATTCACCTAGTTTGTTCTATTTCTGGTTGGATTTGGGCCACTTAAGATGCATAGCATCTTATCAACATCATAGATACATCATAGGAAATTGGCTATGATGCATGACAGGTTATAACGAGGTAGGAACGGGCTGTGGGTGGGGGATGGGGAAGGGGGATGTATCTGGTGAGCGGTGAGAACAGTGGCCGAACGCGTGGGGGAGGCGGGCTATCTCGCCAGCGGTGAGAACAGTGGTCGAGCGCGTGGGGGAGGGAGGGGGGGGGGGGTCTGGTCAGTGGTGAGAACAGTGGCCGAACGCGTGGCGTCCTACCCGCCCACAACATGCTAAAAAGACCATGCATTATGCACTTCAAAGCTGAGTACTGATTGCAACGTGAGTTGGCCCTAAACATGAGCCACACCGCGTCATCAGCAACTGACGTGCTTCACAGATGGCGTCACGCCGCCGCTCATTGGCCAGATCGAACAGGAGCTCCTGGTGAGATAGCTACGTAGTCCCCGAATAGTATGTGTGGCTGAGAGTCCACGTGCGATGACATTTCATGAGGCACATTTTCAGTGGCAATTCCCATGTTATCATTTGTATTACAAGCTATCGCTTGTACTTCACGCGCTTTTACCTCGCATTCGTAAACTTGGGTTCTTCGGAGGAATCCTCACGCTGCTGATCGGAAACTACCACCTACATAGGCTCGCCTTGCTCCGGAGTGAGAATTATGTTTTCAAAGGTATGGTGCAAAAACTATCGCAGTTCGCACGGCGAAGGCGATAAATATGCCCTTCTGACTTGATAACTCGCGCTTTCTCGAAATCATCCATATTCTTACATAACGTTTCCGCAGGCGGCTGTTCAGAGAAAGAGGAATATTCCCGTCCGCTCGTATCAAACAGACGCCGGAAAATCCTGTTATATGAACAATTAGGTTATCATCAGTCAATTTAAATCCTCTAGATGGGCGTCGGACACGGCCGTCTGGTCTTTCTCGCTCTCTGAGAGGTCGCTGATCCATCCCATTTTCCTCAATCTCGTGTCGCATGCCATGCCGAAGCGGAACAGTCCGGCCATAAAACGCTCCAAACATGCGGCCACAGGGGCATGCCGCGGCCGGGACGCGGTTCGTCTCTCCGGAGTGGAGGTACCGCGGGTGACTGACCTCCCTCGCGGCGCGAGCGGCCTCGCCGTGGGTGCCGAACGGGTGATTTAGACGAGCGGCCGTCCCGGGTTATCGCAGCTCGCTACAAGCCGCTGGCGACCGCGACACGGGCCGAGACGCCTCCCTGGGCACACGACCACGGCGTCGCGCCCGTGAAGGTCACGGTTCTGACCCACGACTAATGCCGCGCTCGCCTGGTGCAGGGCACCGGCCTCCGACCGTTCGCGATGCGATGTTAACTGGTGTATGTGGTGCTCTTCCTCTTCCTGACACGTGTGAAACGTAACGTGTAAAACACATCAAGACATTTGTGTATGCACGAAAGATAATTGCGCTACGCGATGCGCTAGGGCGCAATTTTCGATTTACGGTTACAAGTGGGCAGTGGGCACATTCAAAGTTCACGTCTTCGGCTACGTGGCTTGCTGCGCACGCGCCATTGAACAATGTATCGACACCCCTGACCGTGGATTGCCAGAAAACTGCATTTGGTTTACACGTTAGAGACGTAACGAGGCTTGAGACAAACCGACACGCCAACAGACAGCTGATGAATAGGCGGCACATTAACGGACGAGCAGGAAAACAGACGTGTGGAAGGACGGACGGAAGGGCGGACGGCCCAGACGGACAGGTGGAGAAGGAAGATAGATGGGACAGAAGGACAGACGGGACAGAAGGACAGACGGGACAGAATGGCCGACAGGACAGAAGGACAGACGTTGTAGAAGGACAGACGGTACAGAAAGACAAGACGTGGTAGAAGGACAAGACAGGACAGAAGGACAGACAGAAATCATGATGTGTGGACGAACAGACGAAGATGGGACCGACTGGCGGCCGGACGGCCGGGTCCACGGACTGGCAGGCCGGCGGCGAAGAGACAGACGGGCTGTGTGAGAGTGAAGTGAGAGCGTAGAGACCGACAGATAGCTTGATATAGCAGGATAGAGAGGGAAGGAAATAATGAGACATGGAACAGCCGGACGAAGGGTTACGGAAGGCCAGTAGAGAGAAGGAGAACTGGGTGGTGGTTGGGTAAGAGAGAGGGAGAGAGAGAGAGGGAGAGAGAGAGAGGAGGAGAGAGAGAGGAAAGAGTGGAAGAGGAGAGGAGAAGAGAGAGAGGAAGGGAGAGAGAATAGGGGGAAGAAGGATAAGAAAAGAGGAGAAAGAGAGAAAGAGAGAGATAGAAGTTAGACGAGAGAGGGAGAAGAAAGGGGATAGGGGGAAGCGATAGATAGAGCGGAGATGGAGAAGATAGATAGGAGAAGAGAGGTGAGAGACGAGAGGACGATAAGATGAGAGATAGAAAGAGATAGAAGATATAGTAGGAGCTCTTGAGATGAGAAGAGCTCATAGCCCTCTCTCTGGGGGGGGAGATATGCGATGCCCGCCGGCCGACATCGGCCCGTGACCCTGAGAGAATCACCAGCGTCCAAGGCTGGCCGCATGCCGGCCGGGCCGCCCACCGCCGTCCGACCGCCCGACAATAGGCCCGCTCCACGTGCGCATGACACGGACGAGGCTGGAGACGGCCGGCACGCGCCCAGCCGGCCCGCCCGACGGCTTATTACGGGCGGGTCGGGCTTGAATGGCCGGGACTGTCGCGGTCAAGGTGTGACAGGGAGCCGACGCATTGTGTCGGCGTGAACGGCGGATCTCGCGCCCACACAACAGCACGCCTGCCGCTCAGTGACGGAGCTCAAGCAGAGGAGCGCTAATGAATAGGAGGGACTTAATGACAGCATGCGTCTTACACTGGGTGGGAATCCGCTCGATGCTTGTGCATGTGGATGGGAAGTATGTGTTGTCCGCGGTATTGAATGGCTTCGGAATGACATGGAATACTGAGAGTAAGGGTAACGAGTTTGCTTATGGGTGGTGAGCGCCTTCGAATTCCCCATGGGGAGCCCGGGGTCGATCCCCGGTTACACCACGGCCCCTGAGCGCTTATATGGCTTCTACAGTTGCTAGCGCTCCATTCAAGGATTCGCGACCATGCGCGTCGCGTTCACTTTCAACTAAACAAGAAGTGCGTTTCAACAGCTTCTTGTGAGCTTGATGTTTGCAGTCGCATTGCAGCGGCATCATCTCAGCGTCGGCAGCTTTCTCTGGAGCTGCGATCACGATACCCATACGCTGGAGGGTTGACCATAACACTGAAGTGATCGTTATGATGTTTGATATTGCAACGGAGCAATGCCAATCGTCTCAAGGTAGAAGTAAACAACGCTGGCTCTCAGACCAGAACCCGCAACCTGCTAGTCAGAAAAAGGGTAGATCACTAGCCGCCCGCCTGTGCCACGTCTGTCTTATCAAACACTACATGTTTGCCGATCAAACAAGGCTTTATTTCAAGCAAATAGAGGGCGAATATTTAGGATTTCTAGGGGCCAATGGCTTATGTCTTCCATGATTCAAGCTCGTTTCTGAAAATCAGTTTGGGGCAATTTTGTTTCCAGAGCATGGTTACGTGGGGGAACTAAAAAAAAACTGCAATATGATCATTTGCAGTCGATGCACCCGCTGCCCCCAAAAAAGTCACCATCAATTCCTCAAAACCATCTTAAAGACAGGACCAACTACTAGACAGCATCAAACAGCTAGACAGAATCAACCACAAATGAGGAGCTTTAGCTGCCATTTTCGGCACTTTTGACATTTCATTACTCACCAAGCGTGCAAGTTGCTTCAAGAGGCCCGCACCAGAACGGGGTTTGACTTGTTTATCCTCCTGTGTATGTGCCAGAAAGTACGGGTCCCTCATTTGGGCACCATCTGGACAGGAAACAGGTATATGTGACAGTTGTTTATCACCCAAGTGTCACACTGATGCTAATCACACTGACAAACAGGTGAGCGGGGTGCTGAGCGAGCGAGAGCCTGCCGCGCGTGACGCGTCAGACAGGTATCGCTCGCGGGGAATGGATCTGCTACATCCACCGATTAAGCGCCTCGCCGGGACTCACGACAGTTGTACTACCATGTCCTTGATAGCGGGCCTCTGTTGTCGGTGAGGGCTGCATTGAGGCTCTGCATAATATACGCACAGGAGATTGTTTGGAAGCGCGCTTTATCTTCGCCATTCCGTTCGCCGCTGTTATGATATGACTGAAAAGCGAATGCAACTTGAATACCTCATGGGGAGCCTCGTGATGCAAGGAACGGCCCTTGCCCTCAGCATACCGTGCGCTGTTTGGTGCACGCCCCGCAGTGGTGACTATGTGATTAAGAGGGATTGAGACAAGGGTGGCACCGTACATCCCAGCTTACTGAGGATATAACATACTTTGATGTCGCATCAGATGGCCAAAACACAAAAATATCTCATTTTTCCGCGAGTGCACGGAGGTCTTTACCGCGCTGGTTCAAGCACTTAATTCAAGTATTCAATAGCACTTAAGCATTCATACAAGCTAGTTCAAGCATCAAATGGTCAAAACACAAAAATAGCCCAGTCTTCCGCGAGTACATGGAGGTCCTCATCCGGCTAGTTCAAGCACCCAGTGGCCCCCACGTTCAAAGTCTCCATTGCACGGTCACATAGCGTCAGAAACGACGGAAGCCGGAAGGATCAAGACGGGTGGTCACCCCACATTTCCGGAAAAATTGACATTAACTCTATGTGACTCCAGAGCTCGACGCGAGGTCAAAGTCGCATCCTTCACTCTCCCCATCTCCGCGGAAGATCCGCCGTGCATGCTAGCGTGCAATTGCTCCACCTGCGGAGAGCAGAGCAGAGCAGAGCGGAGCTCACCACTGACCTGTCACCCGCCGCTCGCGCCCGCTCCGAGTCCAGTGGTCAGCGCCCGACCACCGGGCCCCACACGTGGGCCCCACTCGCGCGCGCGGAGAGAGCACTGCACACCGCCGGCGGGCTCCGCTCCCGGGCGGCGACTCGCGCGACGCGGCCGGAGCGCGCCGCAGCTCGCAGCGCCGACTGGCGGCGGCGCGCCGACGCCGCGCGCGATTCTGGGTCACGCTCCGCGGCGCCGGCGGCGACGCGCGGCGGGCCCGAGCGATGATCTGAGCCTCTTCATGTGGCGGAACGACGGCCCGGCAAGGCCAGCCTCGGCGCAACGAGGCACGCTTGGGCGGCAGCGCCGCCGGCGGCCGCGCGAGGTTTCACTCTTGTTGGCCACCCGGCCGGCCGCGCCCTCCGAGGCGGCGAGTCTCGCGGTCACTTTTTACAAGTGCCCCCGGCTCGCGCTATCTCGCGCCGAGGACTTTCTCCCGCGTCATGTGAAGAGGGTGTCCTCAGGGGCATACGGGATAAGGATCGCGAGTGAAAAGGATTTCTAAGACGCCACTCGCATCTTCATCAGCTTGTGACTAATGTGTTTTGAAGGTTCAATAGGTCACGCTACTCGCATCAGGCATTAAATCTGCCAGTGCTGTTGCTCAATAGAATACTACCAGCATCGGGTACTCAATCTGGTGGCTTCGGTGCTCAATGGAATGCGACGCATTTCATTAAAAACATGGGGCAAGCAAGCAACCACACGTGAGACGAAAGGAGGAGCGGTTATCAACGCAGGACCGGTCGAACGCGTCAGTATTTTACGGCAAACGTTTGAATGTTTGAGATCGCGAGAAGTCCCATCACGGCTAGGCGTGAGACGAGAAGCTGTCCTTAATGCTTGTTATTTATGACTTTGGGGCGAGGTATTCCCATGGTTGGGAGCACTCAGGTGACAGGGCCAGCGCAAACGCAACAAGCCGGGAGGCTTGCGCAAGTCAAGATAATGCTGGGATTCCGTCGCGGCTCAAGCAAACTGTCCAAGCATGCAATCGGGACATTACTTTCATGATATAAGATGCAGCATCCACTTATTTGTAAAACGAATGGGAAAATGCCCTGTGAGTACTCCAGGATGCAGCGTCCTACAGTAACAGTAATGCACTGGGTTAAGACTAACTCAAAATAATGCCAATGGAGATGATGTCAATGACCACGCCGCTTCACGCATGGTCATTGATATTGGCTTATGAATCTTTGCAATTGCTTATAAAGAAATACCTAGGAAAATTAGGCACTACTCTACTTATGCACCGAATTCTTCTGAACAAGTGACTTACATTTGCACACCCAGTCTGATATAAGGAAGAGCTAGTGCCGGTCGATGACGTCAAGCATGCCCACAGCGCAGCCCTGCAGATTCCTGGACAGCGGCCGCCGTGCGAGACGATAGGAAAGTGCAACGCGCCCAGGCTTCCCGGGCGAGGGAGACGGCGGTCACACGCGGCACATACCAAGCAGCTGCAGCGGCCGGCGCCGCGCCCAGCTGGAGTGGAAGCTGGAGTGGAGGAAAGTGCAGCGGCATTTTTGTCACCTCTTGAGATGGCCGGCCGGCCGTAATCCGCTCTCTCTCTCTCTCTCCCCTATCTAAAAATGCCACGAAGACGAACGTGAAACAGCGTCGGCACGGAGGTAGGTAATTGGAAACCGGGCCCGCTGCCTGCTCGGGTCATTCCACTTCAGCAAAGTTTACGGGTCACGTCAAATTTCACAAGATACTGAAATACATATGGTTAGTTCAGGTTGTAGCAAAATCATATGTGTTCTACATCTCACCAGAACATATCTGCATTCCACGCCCGCATAGCTCATAACGAAAGTTTGTTTTGCCTCATTACTCGCTAGCATTGCACCCCGAGAGCAAAAATCGAACCATTCCACGCACAGCAACTATCCACTCTGCACACATCAACGATCCACCACAGGAAAACAGATCAGCACTGCACCGACGGACGCATATCGAACTGCGGCTGCGACCGGAGCGATGCCATCAGGTGTACGTGTAGAAGTCCATCGCGCTACCGGACACGTTTGCGACTCAGCCGCAGCTTCGACCCCAGGTTGGAGCGCCGAGCGGTTCTGCTGTGGAGTCGTTCGGCGCTGCTCGGGAGGCGACCGCAGCTGGACAAGCGTGGACACGCCGTCCAGGCCGCAGTACCGACGCCGGGCCGGGGCGCCGCGCCACCACTCTGCGGTCGCTCCGGCGGCCGGGGCGGAGACTGCAGCTCGGCACAGGAGCGTAGCCGAGATAGGTGGCGTGCGGCTGCTTGGCCCACCGCACAGCATCGCACGCCCGCCCCAGATTACACGGTGTGCGGGGCATCACATGGTCTGACACAAACCAGCCGGGGCTTGGCCATATGATAGGCCCGTCAGAGCAGCAACAGCACAGGCCTCTGTGAAGGCACCGATCGCGGGAGTATGGGCGCTCCTGGCAGGGTAGGAGAGGACGGGCACAAGGGCAGGCACGCGACGGCATCCATGCGTGACCGCGATCTTCGCCCAACATAGCAGTTTTCAGTTTCTGCAGAGGTGGCTCCCACATCCTTGCTTGTGACAGGTGACGGCTTTTCTTCATGCGGAGTGCTGCAAGAGTCTGCTGCTTTCGCTTCCGAGTTGACAAGGGATATGTGTGTTTTGATGCAGGTGGGTCGCGTCAACAGAACCGGTCTGGTTGGACGTCAGCACTTAAGAGATAAGAGTGGACACACACACCTGGTCACTTTGATGTCAGTGCGATGCTTGATGAAAAAGTGCACGTAACGGCCGCGTGTCTAGTACGCACTCAGCAATAAAGCTGTGGGTGAGGAAGGCCAATGCACATAGTGCTAACGAATGCATACAACAGGAGGAATCATGATAGGTCAGAGGGACATCTTAGCTTTGTGGTGGAACGTGTGAATAAATGACTGCGAAGATGTGGGCCTTAAATTTATTTTACGAGCCGCGTGTGAGGGTCTCCGTTATTATCCAAGGCCACCATGTTAAACATTAAAGCGCCTCGCGTGTACGCGGAACGCGATAATGTTTTGCTGATATTTTGCGGCTCATTCTTTTGTTAATATCAACAGCGTGATAATGCATGACATCGATGGCATATAATGAGGGCTACGAAAGCACAAGCACTAATGGCAGCTTGACACTTATGTAAAACCCGCATCTTTGCAGTCGTAAGTTATGCGTTCCACGACGAGCCAAAGAGCAGAGCGCGTGTGCTATGTGGGTGTTCTAGTCGATGAAGGACTCTCTGCAGCGGAGCTTGGGGCTCAGATACAGCAATGCATGGCGAATGAGACAAGACACGCGGCGGCGAATTCGGCACGTCGTCTGCCTCGCGACTGACTGAGGTTACCGTACCAGGGCTCGTTTGTTCGTGGCTCAGCAACAAGTCAGTCTGTGTTGAGGAAAAAACATGGGGCACGTTCTGATGAGATATTTGAACCCCCGCCCTACGGAAGCTCTTTCACCTTCGCCCAACGGGTCGTCTGCCTGCTGATTTTAACAGTGCTCAAATCCAGTATCCACAGATCTCTTGTCGTTGATGTCGTGGTAGCCGGCAAAACGGACGCTACATCGGAACAGTGCGAGAAATGCTCGACCGACTGTAGGTTTAAGTTGTCATTCCCGTTCTTACCCAGCTCCAGCCCGCTGCGTACAAGATGTACGAGATGTCTTTGCGTGCGAGCACGTATACGCGCAGGTACTTACATCTGTTTCCTGGAGAAATGTACGTGCACGTTCAGCAATAATCCGCGATTGTCACGAAGCCCCTGGCATTAGTTACAGCGCACGTAACTGCAGTGGATCATTGGTATGGTAGCCTCCGACACTAGTTGCTAGGACGTGGCAACAAGCAACGGGCACAGGTTCTTGTTTGGCAGAAACGCCCCCGAATCGGATCAGTCCGAGGCCTAAATCTGGGAAGCGGTGAGGAATTTTCATGACAGGAATAAGACTCTCCATACCTTCGGATAGTCGTTTGTATTTGAGGAGCTACTGACATGAACGGCAATGGTTTATTGCCTGTCATGCTGGATGCTACAACCGGCTCTATGGCTCTTTTTATGTCATGGACGCATCTAACTCCTTTATTTCCGCTGAGATAATTCCAGCATATCTCTTCTTTTGCATTGGGTATGGGGCTCAGTCGGTGCGGCGCGTATCCGTGAATTTAAATTTTTGCGCATTCTTTATTCAAGATATATTTCCAAGTCCTCATCCGTTGCGTGAAGTCTGTACGATAAATCATGTTAACGCGAATCGCAAGTATTACAAAATCAATATCAGATGCGTAAATCCGAACCAAACCAAGGGAGTAGTCTTGTATTAGATGGGGGAGCTTCAGCACTCACCCTTAACTTTGAAAAGACAGTGGGTGAAATTGTGGGTCGGAGGTTGGACTAGCCACATCCTCTGGTCAGACTTGCGGCGTATTTTGCGAAACTACACCCCTGAACCCCACCAAAGGAGTTAAACGCACTTCTTCATTTTTAAATGCAAGTCCAAAGTCTACCAACCACTTCAAAGGAAACCGAGCATGCCCTGCAATACACGCTCCACAACAAACATGTATTTCGGAAAGTGTTGACCCATCTCCTAAACTCTGATGGCACTACACCACCATCCCCCCCCCCCCCCCACCCACCCTCACAGACAGCTCAGCTAGCCACTACGCGACTGCACTCTGAAACCGCAGCAGCCAGACGCCAGCCGCTGGACACCACCGCACAGACGCACACCCAGTCCGCAATACCTTCCCGCAACTCCCGCGCCCCCACCGGGAACGGTGAATGTGTGGGAGGGCGCTCCAGTTGCAAGAGGCCTGAAAACGCCACTCCGTTCGCAATCGGAGCGCACTGCCAGTCAGGAGGCGGCGCGTCTGTTTCGCCACGCGCGCGGCGCGGCCGCCTCCGCCGGCGTGGCTGTCCGCTGCTGTTCGTTACCGCACATGCGGAAGTGCTCAGAGTGGGCCGCCACCACAGCGCCTAATAACTATGCAGCATGGTTATGTATGCAGCGGAATCAGTTTCTGCGGCCTGCACCGGTTGAGCGGTATATAGAACGCCGGCGGTGCACCAGTGCATGGTGTGCATGTGAGTGCGGTGCCCGGTGTGGCGGGTGGGAGGACCGGGGTCATGTTCCTATGGTCATTGGTGGGTCGAACCCTGACTCATTAAACCGAGGTCAACTGTTCACGTACGTCACGTATGCCCAAATGGTTAGCTATTGTGCGCCCCATGCAGAAATGGACCATTATTCCGAGGAATGCGACCTGCATTACGGAAGCGTGCGATAAAATAATTGCGTGCAACAAGATTGGTCGTCGCAATTAGCACGCGGCATTCGTTAGCACATCACAAAACCAGACTAGATCACGACAGAACGTGTAATCTGGTAACTCCCCGCCGCGTCCGAAAGCCAACGACAGAGCTTGGGACAGCCCTCCTCCAGACATCAGCCCGTGCCGATCGCATCAATAAAACATTCCGGCACGCGCGTGAAACTCGGCCGCACGTTTGCAGAGCGGGCGGCGGCTGCAGCGGCGCGGTAACTCTCTCCGGATTGGAGGCGCCCCGGGCAAATCTGCGCTGACACGCGCCAGGAATGTCGCCCGGCCTGACCGGTCACACGACAGCCAGCTGTCGACCTGCGCGGAAGTCGGTCGGGCGCGAGCTTCGTGACCGGTTTGCAGGCGGAGGCCCGCGCGATGCTAAACGCGCCGGCTGCATGCTGTGCTTCGCGTAATTTGTTTGTTTTCAGTTAGAACGTGGCGATGCGATGATGATGATGGCGTTGGTGACGACAACGCTGATTATGCTCGGAGTTGTAGTGTGATAATGATGATCATACTTCTGCTGATAATTATCATTGGAGCAATTATGGTAATTACCAATAGAAGTAGTAGTAGTACTAGTATCGCAGTTGTTAATGTTTTAATAACAACGATTGCGTTGTCATCATGATGGCGTTAGCGATGGTGGCGCTGGTGATGGGTTTTGACGACCGTGCTGATACTGGTCATCATTCCGACTGTGGAATCTGGGACCACCCGAGGGACACACACAGTCGCATATATCCACAAACAAATGGGCGGTGTGCCGGGTCGCGGATGGATGGACGAGAGCGCTCAAGGTCAACCTTCCTGACGCTGCTAAGCTGGACAACTTCTGTTTGAAGTCGGCAAACGTTCACGGGTTTCTGATGAATTATAGGACCATTGTTCCATGCGTACAGCGATCATCCCGGAAATGTGGCGAACGGCGAGGAGAAGCGGGTGGCGGACCTGTCGACGGCCTAGTGTCTGCTATGATAACCATGTTCTGTAGACAGGGAATTTCGCTATAGTTTGCACTCAAAATGCTAATTGGGCCGGTAGCCAGAGCCGGCTCCATTCATTTTTTCAACGGCCCGAGCCCAGTGATGAATCAACCGCAACGTGTAAAAGTCGGCTAGAGTCAGAGCCTAGAACAGCCCCTCCGCGTACTGTGAACAAAGCTCATGACCAAGTACCAGCCCACCTGGGGTCGTGCCGGAGTCTGGGAGAGTAACCGCACGTGGCTGTGGTGGTGTAACAAGAATAGAGCCGGGAGTTGCTAGTGATGAGGCGCGCGGAAGAAGACCAGAGTACCACTCAAGGTGACAACTGGCCTTCTGCGGTGTGGTCGAGCGGTGGCGTCGTCCGCAACCGCAACAGTGCCAGCTGCCAACCACCAAAGCTTGTGCTCACTGACCACTCTGCAGCAGAACCAATCACTTGAACTCGGAGACGCAAGTTTTCAATGTTGCTGTGCATTGCTCTCCACCGTCCAAGCCGTCTGAACGCCCGGCGCAGGTAGAGCACGTCGCATGGCGATAGGCTCGCACCAGTGGCGAGGGGCGGGACAAGCCTTCCCGCCCCGCCCCCCCCCCCAACTTTGTGGAATTTTGAGCAGCGCATGTTGGCGTGGCCTTACGTGAGAAAGGAACTATCTGAAAACGTATAAAAACAAATGGTCCCGCCTGATCCACCCGAGGCTAGAGAGTCTATGTGTAGCCTCATTTCCATCGGTTCAGAGCACATACATACTGGGGGAAGACTAGGGACGAGCCCTGATGGGTGCATTTCACAAAACGCTGCCACGATATTGGTGAAAGTAATGCATTGCAGCAGCTAAACCAGTGTCGTTTAGTTTGGTTTGTTTCGCGCCTTTTCAGTTAGCATTGATCATTTCAAGAGCAGGAGATTATTGAGAGAGGAGAGTGATGGCACCGTCCTAGGACCGTTTGAGAGATGTAGTCTTCCGAGCCTTACATCGCACAAGGTAGGGCTCAATTTTCGAGGTCTGTACCGCGTGCGTTTGCATGGGGGGGGGGGGGGGGCCTGTGCCTGGCCACACTGATGCCGATTCATGGCAGACGGCCGCAGCTTGCAAAAGTTCTAGGCGAGATGAGGTGGTAAGAGGATTTAGGAAGACGCGGTAAGTGAAGAAAGCAGGACGTCTGTCCCCGTGCTGTCGGCTGTTCTGGGGAGCCTGAGGACTCAGCAGGAGTCGGAGTCCGAAGAGTCGAGTACGAGGAGTTCGAGGAGTCTGGGGAGAGCAAACGCAGTATTTGCTCGTTCCTTGCGACACAACGTCAAAAGGATAGAGCTGAATGTGGAGGAGAAGACCACCTGGCATCATCTCGTCTCCTTCCGCCAGCCACCACCAGCATTCTCATTTCACCCATGCACATTCCACAGATTCCTCGTTGTCAACAACGATGCCTCCTGCCACCTCTGGCATGAAGAGCCCTCTTGTGGCTGAACTGATAAGTAATGCTTACAAAAATTATCTCGCGGGCAGCATCACAGGATATTTTTATCTAGATTGCTTTTACTTGGCGAATAGTACGGCAATGGTCTTATTTACTGTTTGGATTAAAACGAATGTGCTCAGTTCTAGGAGATTTATGTGTATTTGGCCTCTATGTCTTGCTTCGCCTCCCAATAAATATTTCACACATGGTGGTGCTGGATGTCCGTTTGCCGCCGAATCACGACTACGCTATTTTGCCGCGCCGCCATTGTAAGCGGGCACCGGCGTCCGTCGGATACTGGGTTGTGTTTGAGGTGTGTTTGTGTTCGGTGTGTGCATGTGTGGAAACAGCTCCCGATCGGTGGGGGTCTCGAAATGTTCGCATGGTAGCGTTGGTTCATGCGGTGCGGGGGCTGGTTGCAGTTAGTGATACCGACGCAATTTGCATGTCATCGTCCTGTCTACTGATCATACATCTACCTATTTCCAGCTTCTGTGTGCTAGGTGTGACGGCATTCCAATTGAGAGGTTGTGCATTGAACTTCGGCTCGGCATGGTGTGTAGATGGATTACCGGATGGTTTGTGCAGCTGGCAAGCTATCATTGGTTTGTGGATGTCACTGAGCTGGGGCATTGTCTTGTCAGCGTTTGTGATCGGATAACGTACTGGTGTGTCAGTTTTGGGCTGGGACTTGGTGTTTTCTCTTCTTAGTACATGTAGTATTATTGTTATGTGATCCTGTAGGGTTTCTTGGATTAATTTGATGCAGGTTGAAGGAAGCTTTAGTTTGTTGGGCAGGTAGTTGTAAGGAAGCTTTAGTTTGTTGGGCAGGTAGTGTAAATAGTGTGTATTTATAGGCACACTGGATGGCTTCCAGCTTTGTCTGAATAAATGTAATGTGAGCCACATCAATTGACAATTGAGGTGCTCATTAAGTGCCAGTTTTGTTTTTTCATCTCAGGAGTTATGCATTATTTACAGTGACTGGATACATACTGGTATTTGATTGATGGCCTTAAAGGTAAACATTTGGGTAGCAGATGTGATAGCATTGCTTAGCTGTTCTGGGGTGTTTATATTTTTTTGGTAATGATCATTCCATGCTCAATACACAGGCTACTGCCTGATGCTTGCCACCCTTTTGTTTGTTGTTGTAGACCTCCCTGGATTTTCATGTGTGATGTCAGTACTGGCTGTACATGCTTGGCAAGCATCACATCAGACCACTTTGGCTAGTTGCTTGTTGGCCAGGCTGCAAAATGTGGCAAACCAGGCAACAAGGTGTTTTGGGCAGGTCTAATTGGCCTCCATGTCATGTTTGAGCACTATATTTGCAGTATATTAGAATGCATCAAGCACTTAACATTTTGAATCATGCATCTAATTACTTAAAAGCCATAACTTGGGCCACTTGGTAAAAACTGATGAATAGAGCCAATGCCCTGACTACTGGCCTCTGGCATTTGTTTGCAGCTGGTTACATGTTTCATGCATACAGCAGAGGGTAGCTATATTAGAAGCTCAGTGTCTTTTCACTATGTTTTCTTCAAGCAGCTCAATGTAATTGATAGATGTGTGCTGGAACAAATGTGGTGCACTCAGCCTGTGGGCTGCCCTTGCCTGCATGAATGGTTACTTCTGGTTGTTTTGTGCAGTGCAGGGCATTTTCTGCACAGGTTCATATCTGCTTCAGCTTAGTACCTGTACAAGGTGTCATGGGCTGTCCCAAAATTCTCATCATACATTAAATATGAATTCCAGCTTAACCATGCCTCAAGAAGACATTTTTTAAAACCTGGTCTTTTTTAGGCTGATCAGGGGATCACTGGCCATGCAGTGATCTTGGCAGGTGGTGTTGCTCAGCTGGAGAAGCATTTGTGTTGTCACCATATGAGTGAAACCATGCATGATTTCCTAAATAAAGTTATGGATGGATTGCTGTGTGATTTATGTGATAACATCACAGAAGTATTTCAGCCAGTTTAGTCATGGATCAAGCATGGTTTTATAAGGCAATCATTTTCTAGCAAGGCATTTGTTCATCCCTGTGATGTCCAATGTTTTAAAGTTATTGATGTTGGTTCTGAACACATCTTGAGGAATTTTATCTCACAATCAAAAGTGTTACTTCAAGATGGGGCTGCCTTGCAGTAATGTGACAGTGATATGAGAAGTTCACCACTTATGACCTTGTTTATTCTGTACAGCAATACACCATTGGATTATTGCTCTCTGCGGGTGTTGCTTGTGCAATAAAGTCTGATGAATATGGAGGGTTGTATTTGTGTTGTCTGAGTTGTGTGTGTGTAATAAAGGTTGATGAAGGCTCTGATGTGACCAATCTGTCTGTATAATGTTTATGTTTCAGTGTCATGATCCTCACTCATACATCCATATGAACCAATGAAATGTCAGACACATGCATAACCAAGCTGCCTCCTTCAATGAGGTTAGACCACCTTGACCTTTTTTTCTCCTCTCCAGGCATCTGACCTAATCTGACCTGAGACCAGGTACCTGTTGCAAGTGACCTGCTGTAAACCCAACTATTCCCATCAGATCCACCTGAGGTAAGTCCATTTGCCCTCCCAGCAACTCCACATCACATGCCATCAGATCAGTCCAAATAAGTCCTTGACCATTCAATGCAATGTTGTGTCAAAGATGTTCCATGGAGGATTTTCCAAGACATGTGTTTAATATCCATCCTGATTATTCTGTTTGACTGCCTACCCTCCATTCCAATCACCTGTGGTAATATGGGTTTAAGTGTCTTCAGGTGCTTGCTATTTGCCCTTGACAGGTGACCTATGACCACTGGTATTGGCTGCTCTAAAGGTCGGGTGACATCAGAAGGGGGGAGGCATGCCAAGCAATGTGGCATTTTCAATTGTTACCACTATATTCTGACAATGATGTGGAATGGACATGGAAATGATATTGAATTATACTTTGGATGGTAGGGGTCATTGTTCATGCAGGAAACATTGCCTGACATGAGCCTTTATCCCAGAAATGCATGCATTCAAAAGGTTTGATTTGAATTATTTGAAGAGATCAACAAATATGTATTGAACAGGTTCAAGGTGTGATGAGGTTTACAGCTGCAGTCAGTATGTGTTGTGTTGGGAGTTTACTTTCTGATGGATATCTCATATGTCTTACCCCATATAACTTTCCCTGGCAAAGTCAATGGTGTATTGTACACTGGCATTTTTTTTCAAATTGATTTACTAAAATCTTCAGCCCATCCTCCAAAGTATGAGTTTGTTCAATTTTTTACTTTCATGTTCTTTGAGATTGCTAGGTGCAATCAGTCATGACAAAATGTCTTGCTCTGATTTTGTTATGAATTATTCAATGCACACCTCAGTTGTGGCATTGATCTATTTGTTTCCTACTCCTGAAAAGACAAGCTGGAATATCTGTGCATGCCTTTGTTACCCAGTTCCCCCATTAAGGGTGAGGTCAGGGATGTATGCATGTTGGGTGACACCACTCTCTGCTAGTTTTTTTATAGCAGCAGGCTCATGGGTGCATTTAGCAGAGAACAAGTTATTTAGTGATGAATTTCCCCTCCCATAATCATCCTTGGAGATTCTGTTCCTCATGGGGGGGGAGGGGGGACCAAATGCTTGACCAAACCTGTTGACCAAGCCATGCTCCAAGCTTGTGGCACTGATTGACAACGAACCTTCACCATTGGATGCTGCTTGGTTGATGACATTTCCTGTCTGGAGTATGATGACCTTGGGTCCAGTAGAAGATAGCCAAAAATACCACAAAAACAAAAACAAAAAGCAGGGTCGCAGACATCCCTATGCTCTGAGGCTGTGCCGCTGATCAGCATGGAACTCATCAATTGATGTGTCATAGCTGCTATCCTGTCCAAAATATAGTGGCCTTGGGTCATGTCAAACATCGCTAAAAACACGCAAAACCGCCAAAATTGTTTGCAAGCAACCCCATGCCCTGAGGTTATGGCACCAATCTGCATGAAAGTTCCGCCGGTAATTGTGTCATACCTGATATCTCATTCATTCCAGAGCATGGTGACTGTGGGTCAGGTCAAACATTACCTAAAACCACTGATCAATCTCAGGGAATTTAATTTTAGTTGGTTTCAGTCGGTTTTGGTGACCTTTGATTTAACCCATTGTCACCGTGTTCTGGAAAAGGTAGGTTATTGACTATAACACAGTGGTAAAAATTTTGCGCTGGTCGGTCTCGCAAGATCAGAGCGTGGTGTTGTCGGCAGGCCAACTTAAGGTGGTTTCGATCGTTTTTGGTTACCTTTGACCCAACCAAAGGTCATGATGTCATGGAAAGGGTATCAACAATGGCACATCGATTGATAAGGATGTCATGCTGATCGGTCCCAAAGGCTCTTGGCATGGATTGCCGCAATCCTATTTTCCAGCTTTTGGTATTTTTGGTGATCTTTGACCTGACCTAAGGTCACCATATTTGCGGAAACTTATCGACCAGTTGTCGATGCTGAAAGGTTATCGACCAAGCAGCATCGAATGGTAAAGGTTTGGTGTCGATTGGCGCCCTACGAAGCATGGGGTTGTCAAAGTTAAGTCAGCCGTTTAGTGCCTCCGTTCTCCATTTGTGTCCGGCCGTCCGGAAATTTCCCTCAGAGTCGTCGCCCATATGTCATGCACGGCCAACGGTCATAGCTTTGCGTAGCGGAAAAAGTTTCTCCGTCTTGACCATGCTCTGGAAATTTCCTGGAATTCACCCCCGGCACGAAACATCTGAGATAATTTTCCGTGTCGGCGGTGCCGAACGCCGTTCCGGAAAATTTGCCCCAGCATCCCGGATGATTTTCCAATGTTATCTGCCGGCCGAACGCGCTCATGTGTCGGCGATGTGTTTGCCTCAAGATTATGGACAGGTAGCTGATCTAGGAACGTTGACAGGGATACTGGGGCTGGCTATGGATAGTGTGTCTGGGCAATTAAAATGGCAAATGCATGTGCAGAAATTTGTGTGTCTAAATCTGAATCGTGATGTGAATTAAATGAAAATAAAAATGTTCGAGGGGTGAATGAATTGAGTATCTTACAAAAACATTGCAAAAATGGGAAATTGAATACCAATTATGGGACTGTGTTGGGAAGCCAGATAGTTTGTTTCTCATGCGTATTTGCTGCCTTGGAAACAGCACAGTGGTAAATATAAATAATTAGTGGTTGAGAGAAATGAAATTTTTTAGATGGCAAGTTGGTGCACGTGCCCTATCACATCAATTGTTCTGTTCATTTTTGGCTAAGGTAATGCTCATTAGGCGAAGATTACCACTCAGCACTTGCATGCATGCCACAAATGCGTTGGTGGTGCTGCAGCGGCACTACTCAGCGTCATGCTTGGATGTAATAAGTGCTGAGGTTTCATTAGAATAGATTGTAATATGCCCCAAAGGCTGGACGCTCCAATGTTTGTCCTTAGCAGTGAAACTAGCTTTGAACCAATTAAGCAAGCTTTTATGCAGACTCAGAACCTGGGACCACAAGCAATCAAGCGATAGTAGCATTCTCACCGTGAGCTCTAAACGGACAACGTTTGTTGCCATGACAGGCTCACATAAGGAAAAAGCCGGAGGCGTGCGGCCTCGCTTCACGAAATACACGATTTACGTCGTTGGCCGGCGAGGCTCCTTGTGACCAAAAGCGTGCCTGCCTGGGCGGGTCGCCGCGTCCGTCGCTCGCCATGGCCTTTAAGGCGCCAGATCGGCTTTCGACGGCGTGTGACGATCTTCGCAGTCTCGGATGCCAGTCATAGTGGGGCTCGTCGGATATCGTATCGCGGCTCGCGGTCGATCGGTCGTGAATGGACGATGACAATGTGATCAGCGGATGGGATTCAGGTGGGAGTGGTCCTGTTCTGGTGTGAACATGAGCGCGGGGCGGCCCCGTCGATCTTGGTCGACGAGGCACCTCGTCGATCTTGGGTTCAGGAGATCAGAATGCCCCCGGCAGACAGCTCGGGATATGTACTGCTGGACAGGGGAGGGTCATTGTTGCGAGCGGCCAACGCCGCCGACTGCGACCAGGAACTCGATGGACGTCGGACACGGGGATAGTTTGATCAGGATTGTAGACCCGGCTGATCGAGTTCATCACGACAACTGGTAACTACATGTGACGGTTTGAGCGGGAAATATGAAGCTCCGCTAAGCTTGCATGTTGGCGAGAGCTGATCTATTCCAATGCCATTTACTTCGCCAGTATAGACGGCTTTTAAAGTATTGTAACAACCAAGCGGTTCAGGTGCGTTGGTGGCGGGAACTTGTCAACGGTAAATACCCGCTGATCAACACTATCAGGTGTCCCGTGAAGGTATGTATCATCGACCGACATGGCTCCTGGGTCACTCATCTACGGCGTGAAGCGGGCCGGACGCGTGGCGAGGGACGCGCCACTCGACACTGGCTCGGGACTGTCCGGTCGCCGGTCCGCCAATGTAGGCCCTGTCGGATCACAGGTGGGGACCGCAGGCTGGTGAGGGACTCGCGACCTGACACTGGCCCGGGACTGTCCGGTCGCCGGTCCGCAAATGTAGGCCCTGTCGGATCACAGGTGGGGATCACAGGCTGGTGAGGGACTCGCGACCTGACACTGGCTCGGGACCGTCTGGTCGCCGCTCCGTAGATGTAGGTCCTGTCGTATCACAGGTGCGGGTCGCAGGCTGGGTGGGCCCGCCACGCGACACGGGCTCGAGACCGTCCGGTCGCCGCTGCACAGGTGTAGGCCCGTCGGATCATAAGTGCGGTTCACAGGCGGGATGTCACGTAGGCTCTGTCGAAGCAGGGACGAATCACAGGCTGAATGGCATCCGCGGCGGCGGGATTACGCACAGGTAGGTGGCACTTGGTGTAAGTCAAGAAGGGCGTTGAGCTCCTGGTTTTCGGCGCCGTTAATCGACTTTCAGTATGCCAGGAGGCCCTGGTTAAACGACTTGCTCAAGGAGGCGTTGGCTGTGGAAATGCAAACTACAAGCCGTGTTCGTCGTCACGAGTGAACAGGGTAAAGCCAACAATGCCATTTTACATCAGTACGTGATTACGGGAAACATTCTGATCTTTGCCGGTGCCGCCATTAAAGTGATATTTGTATAATCAATCAGCCAGGCATCTCAACCCGAACACCCGACACACGGTGCTACACTAAGGCCTGCAGTCTTACATGGCACGTAAGACATGGAGACGGAAGTCGTCGCGTATAAATGCCAAAGTTGTCTCTCCCAAGGTTCGGAAGGCTCAATTGAAAATGTCAGTTTTTTCTTAACATATTCGATTGGACTCGGTTAGGCAGCTCCGCTGTGCCACCGGCGCGGGCAGGATATTCGATATTTGATGTTCCTAAAAAGACGACACAGGAGGGCTGAAGACACCTTTTTGGTGTTACGGCGCGCATAATGAATGCTACAGATGGTACCGAAGATTTGGGCGCGGTTGTATGACACGTAAGTCGATAAGTTTTTCTTGCTTTTAGTTAGAAATTGTGCGAAATGTAGTTGTCTCCAGGCAGCACGTGAGATTTTCCGGTAGGAGAACGCCGTGCGTAGCTCTGCATCAACCATAGCTCTGCATCAACCATCGCCCTGCGAAGGTTGTGTCATTCTTGCCCAACGAGGCGCCAAAGTAGGTGGCGGGGCCAAACGACCTCGTGATTGGCGAGTCACTACTTGTGGTTTATGTTGCATCTAAGTGTATGCGACGCATTTATCGTGATTGGAAGTTGGGAAATGGATGGCCGGTGAAGTTAACGTGTCGAGGGAATGAAGCCCAATTTCTCGATCTGAAAACAATGGCCCCGAAGCCGTTTGGCTTCGTACGCTTCATTCCGAGTCGTTCGTCATCGTACACGTCAGGAGGCGGCAAACGCTGTCAAGTCCCGTTGTCAGTGTTGGGAACACATTTACCGTCCTGGGTATAAATGTCGTTCATGCGATTCCCCGATAGTCTAGAAGGGCAAAGCAATCGTCTGGAAAGAGCTGTGGTGTCCGTAAACGTGATGTTTTGTGCGTCGGAGCCGCGATATGTGAATTTTACTGCTGTACGTTTATTGTCTGCAAAGCGAATGTGACAAGTCGTTTTTGTTCGGTGCAGGACGTAAGACATTCCTTGAAAATCGAAGTATTATTTCACACCGGATACGAGGCACAATATATTTGATGAGTTCTCGTAGCCGTGACATGATTTGGATGCCAGATTATACCGTGACTCGGCAGAAGTAAATATCTGTCTTGAAGTTATCTAAATTTTATCATCGTTCGGCAAACTGAGATGAGCGCAAGCTGTAGCAAGGGCTGTGCTTTTTTCGTTGAGGTATTGCGGGCTCGGTTCCCGCCGCAGAAAGTTTTCACCGACCACGTTGCCTGGGCCAGGGGTGGACGGTAGTGATTGAGTAACATGACGCGGCGGTGAAAAACCCAAAATATGTTGATGCAATATAATTTGTCGTGCCAGCTCTTACCTTGCGCTAAAGGTAGCACGGTCTGACCCTGAAGCTGGGTGCCGTCCCTGAACCCCCATCCTGTGAGCTGGATCAGTTGCTAGCCGGGAAAGATCAGAAGTGAAGTGAAGCTAGAAGAACCTAAAGTGTCGAACACCTCACCTGGTACCGGTCGATCTGACAGTCCGTTGCAGAAGGTATTCGCCGATCAATCAGGTCCCTCGCTGCATGCCGTTGCCCGCCAAATGTCATGTCACGACTCGGGCGACAGGTACACAAATGACGTCACTCGCCATGCCGTTTGTGACGGGGCAGTGTACGGATGTGCGCACGCTCCGCCGTCGGTTTTGGAAGGGTTTCGATTGCCCGTCTTCCTGTACGTTTTACAGAGTCGCTCTGTTCTAATCATGACCCGGATATGAACGCTCATGTTAGGCGGAGCATTTTCTCTTGACACTTTTGGTGATTCAGAGTGCTCCCTGCATGGAGTTCTCGAGAGGAGGCAGCACCTGGAACCCTCAGCGTGCCCATTGGACCCCCCCCCCCTCGCTCTCGTCGGTGTCGTGCCGTGGACCGGTGTGCAGACCTGCGTTCTGTTTGTTTGGCAGTGTCCCCTATCTGTCCTGTCGCCGCGATGGCCTCCAGCGAGCTGAAGTCGATTCCGTCCGACGGGCCGTCGGTCACACTCACCATCCGCCTGCTCATGCAGGGCAAGGTAGGCGCCATCCAGCCCGGCCAGACCCGCCCCGCAGACCCCGGAGCGGCCCCGCCGGGGCACGCTCAGTCGGGAGGTGGCCCCTGTGACCGGCCCGCGCACCCCGGAGCGGCCCCGCCTGGGCACGCTCGGTCGGGAGGTCGCCTCCTGTGACTGGCCCACAGACCCCAGGGCGGCCTCGCCGGGGTACGCCCGGTCGGTAGTTGGTCCCCGTGACCGGCCCGCAGACCCCGGAGCGGCCCCGCCGGGGCACGCTCGGTTGGCTGGTGGCCCCCCTGTGACCAGCCGCGGACCCCAGGGCGGCCCTGCCAGGGCACGCTCGGTCGGGAGGCGGTCCCTGTGACTGGCCTATGCTGGCCGTGATTGAGATGTTGCGGTGCCGGATCTGTCGTGCTGTTCGAAGAAGGCGATGATGTGATGATTGTTTCTGGTGGTTGAAGTTCGACGTGGCGTGAAGCTGGTGTTACTGTTAGTGGTCTAATTGCTGGTGGAATTTGCAAGATGGAGAATTAGACGTGAAATCGCGCACGGCCGTATTGGTCACTGAAGCGAGGGGAGGGAGTCGTTCAACACTGCCTCCCCAGGTCAGGCTGGCATAACCTGTCTGCGCATTGCAGGAGGTGGGCAGTATTATCGGAAAGAAAGGAGAGATCGTCAAAAGGTTCAGGGAAGAGGTGAGTGCTGCGAGTGCGCTATCGCCCCGTTCTGTCAGCTCGTGGCTTGTTTTCGTCCCGTCTGCCCGTCCGGGTGGCGCTGCCGTACGGGGCGTGGCCCGTGTGTGGGGTCGGGACAGCCCCGCTGTGGCCCCCGTGAGGCCCTCGCCCGCCAGTGCCGTGTGCTGGGGCGGGCGGGTGCGGTCGCGGCGTCCCCGGTATGTCCGCTGGGCGTTCAGGGATGGGGTGTTGATGCTTTTCGAGGGCGTCTCATGGTTAATTTCGTCGACGTGGTGAACAGGGAGAATGACTCCTTGGTTAGCACTGGGTAGGTTTTCGCTTCCATATATGCCGCAAAGCAGCCGAACAGCTGGTTAAGTGAGCGTGCTCAACTCCCCTCGTGCCTGACCGCAATCTCTGTTCGTCTCGCTTGTAGCACTGGGAGGCAGCATTCCTGGAACTGGTTTCGACAACAGCGCATGGGGCGTGATGCCACGGGTCAATGATGTTTTGTTTGGTTCCAGAGCGGTGCCAAGATAAACATTTCTGATGGCTCTTGCCCAGAGCGCATAGTCACGGTCACTGGTTCGCCAGACGCCATTTTCAAGGCATTCCAGCTGATTTGCAAGAAGTTCGAGGAGGTCAGCGAGCGCAATCAGAATGAATACAGCGTAAGGCCGAGTCAGCCGCCCACGATCCGTGACGCTGCCTTTCTACCCTCTCGCGTTTAAGGATGGATGTAAGCCACGATTCTCAGATGGCAGGTGTGTCCGCGACAGAACCATTAGTTCTCGATCGTAAGTCCTGAGCATCGTCCTACCGTGATTTGGTGTGCTGTGGTGCATAAATAGCCGCCCTGATGGACAGCACAGTGAATGAGGTTACGTTCCTTTTTGTTAGGAGCATTGCATGCACTACACACACGATGTGGCGAGCTGGAATTGGGAATACGGCACAGTATCCCGTATTCCCGTATTCCCGTCGAGCATTCCCGAGTCCCGTATCCCCGTATGTGCTTAGTGTTTTCAGGCAATGGTCGCCCCTTCGTCGCCTTATTTCTGACAAATCGTCATTTCCGTCTCGTCGCTCTGTTCTGACAAAAAGCGGACCAGCGCGCGTTGTGTCCCGCGTCTCGCCATCGCACGGCGAACCCTCCGGGTCGTCGCTCGGCGCGGGCTCTGACCGGGGCCGTGCCGTGCACCGCAGGCCAGCAGTATGCAGACGGGCTCGGGCGTGCCGCGGCCTCCCATCACCATGCGCCTGATCGTGCCGGCCTCCCAGTGCGGCTCGCTCATCGGCAAGGGCGGCGCCAAGATCAAGGAGATCCGCGAGGTGTCCGGCGCCAGCATCCAGGTGGCCAGCGAGATGCTGCCCAACTCGACGGAGCGCGCTGTCACCATCTCGGGCGCGTGCGACGCCATCACGCAGTGCATCTACCACATCTGCTGCGTGATGCTGGAGTCGCCGCCCAAGGGCGCCACCATCCCGTACCGGCCCAAGCCGCAGATGGGCGGCGGCAACCCGGGCATGTTCGGCGGCAACCAGCCGTTCGCGCAGCTCGGCAACTTCGGCATGCACTCCGGGCACGACGTGAGTCGCGGGGCGCCGCGGCGCCGCTGCCCGGTCGGCGTGCGGTTAAGTGCCGGGCGAGCCGAGGCGGAGCGGAGCGGGGAGGGGCGGCGCTGGGAGAGCGGGCTGTGCTCCCGGCCTGCTGCCGCCGGAGCGCTCACCCACAGCCCCTGCATGTGCTCATGGTTTCGCGTGATTATTGCCTCTTAATGTTTGGTCGTCGCCTCCCCTGTGCTCACCCCAGCCCCCCCCCCCCTCCCCGCTCCCCGCTGCCTTGGGTCGGTACCGCTGGCGCAGCCCGGCCGCGACAATGGGCATTGTTTGGACATTGTTGCAGTGCTTGTAATCGGCTGCTCCGATGACTTGTTCAACCGCAATTGAAGCGGCCCCGGTGATAGAGAGGCGATAATGCCCCACACCCGGTACATCGCGTCAGTTCACGTGAAACTTCACAAATCTCGTGCCGGTACGCTGGACTGGCGTGTATGCACTGGCTTGTCGCCATGGGACGCGTGGGGGGGGGGGGAGGGGGCGGTTGGCGCCAGGCCGCCTTCTGCGCGCTATTGCGCTATAGCTGGCCCGGCGCCACAGGAGTGCTGTCGGTCGACATCAGCACCCATCGGCGCAAACTCCCGGGTCGGTGCCGACCGGCCGCTGTCATGCGCCTTCCCCTGTCTGACCGCTGTCTCGTTCTGTCCGCAGTCGTACGAGCCGGCGCCCAGCCGATTCCAGGTAACTGGGGCGAGCCGCGACGTGTTGTGGTCAATCGTCGGGGTGTAGCCCGAGTGACGTGCGCTTTCCAAGTGGCACGGGCTCATTTGCTGGTCAGCGGGGCCTCTGTTTCGTGTCGAGGATCGTTCGCGGTCGCGAACCGGTATCGGCTGGCCCCGGTCAAAGTCGGTCACGTTCTTTATCGGTGTTGATGTGGCAATGATTGAAGTCAGTGTCATGGCGACGCCATATAGCCTCAGCAGCTGAGTGCGTCGTAAAGCCTCAACGACACACACAGAAGTCAGTAGCATTACGCGCCGTACTGATGTAAGTGAATGTCGACCATCTCACCCGACTCGATATATTTATAAGTGTGGGTGGTGTTCGAGAGGCCTGGCGCGGCTCGTTTGACCTTGTCGCGCCCGCTCGCAGCCCAAGAACAACAACCCGCTGGCCAGCCTGCTGGGCAGCCTGGGCGGCGGCGGTGGCATGGGCGGGCCGCAGAACACGCTACAAGCCAGCACCTCAGGTCAGTGGGAGGCCGCTCGACCGGCGTGCGCCCCGCCGGTACGCGGTGTCGACCGACACGGTACCTGATGCACTGCACACGGACGGGCACACCGCGTTACGGGCGGACACTGCGCACAGACGGTCACGCTGCACACAGACGGACACGCTGCATACGGACGTGCGCGATGTGCTGCACACAGACGGTCGCGCTGCACAGAAGGACGCGCTGCGCAGAGAGGGACGCGCTGCACACAGACGGACGCGCTGCACACAGACAGACGCGCTGCACACAGACGGACGCGCTGCTCACAGACGGACGCGCTGCTCACAGACGGACGCGCTGCACACAGACGGTCACGCTGCACACAGACGGGCGCGCTGCGCAGAGAGGGACGCGCTGCACACAGACGGACGCGCTGCACACAGACAGACGCGCTGCGCACAGACGGACGCGCTGGCGCTGCACACAGACGGACGCGCTGCACACAGACGAACGCGCTGCACACAGACGGACGCGCTGCACACAGACGGTCACGCTACACACAGACGGACGCGCTGCACACAGACGGACGCGCTGCGCAGAGAGGGACGCGCTGCACACAGACGAACGCGCTGCACACAGACGGACGCGCTGCACACAGACGGACGCGCTGCGCAGAGAGGGACGCGCTGCACACAGACGAACGCGCTGCACACAGACGGACGCGCTGCACACAGACGGACGCGACGTGCTGCACACAGACGGACACGCTGCACGCGGACGTGCACACTGCGCCGGGCGGCGGAGCGCAGCCGTCGGGCGTGATTTGGGCCGGTCACGTGTCGGCACGGCGGTGTTGACACACACGCGTGGGTGTGACGGTGTCCGGCGCGCCCAGTGGGGCTGCCTCGCGCGTCACACGGTCGTGGCCGTCGGCGCGGCGTGAGGCGGCCGCTGTTGTGTGACCGCCCCCGACCTGTCTTGCAGCGGTGACGGCGCTGGCGGCGCTGGCCGGCTCCCAGCTGCGCGCGCCGCAGGGCGTCGGGCCCGGCACGCAGACGCACGAGATCACCGTGCCCAACGAGCTGATCGGCTGTATCATCGGCAAGGGCGGCACCAAGATCGCCGAGATCAGGTGAGCCGAGACCGGGCGGTGTCGTGTCACAGGCTCGCCGCAGTGTGACGGCCGGTGTGTGGCGTCCGGCGGGTAACTGCTTGGTGTCAAGTGGTCGTGGTAGATACCTCCAGAGGAATCCGAGAACGACGATGCGTATGTGTTGGACGCTGCAGACGAATTCAGCGTTTGACATTCGCACGCCCAGGAAATGCCATGCTGATTGCGACAAGGAGAGTGTGTTCTGCTCTGGAGAAACGTATTTGGGTGAGAATTTGTTGGTGGCAACATGGATATCACGTTCCGGCCTTGTGACGTGCGTCACGTCATTGTGCGCGCATTCCGCTGTGACCTGCCTGCCCGCAGCAGCCGCCTGGCTGACTGTTGATGGTACCCCACAGGCAGATAACGGGCGCCATGATCACCATCTCCAAGTTTGACGACTCGACGGACGACGCCACCCACCAGGAGCGCGTCATCACCATCAAGGGCACCAGCGACCAGGTGTCACTGGCTCAGTACCTCATCAACACCAGGTAAGGCCGGCGCACGGTTGCCACCTGCCGGCGAGTGGCGACACTCGCGTTTCCAGCCGCCGCCGCCGCCGCCGCCACGGCGGCAGGACTTCCGGGGACAGTCGCCGGACACTTCCGAGTTGGAGAAGCATCGGGGACGACAGAGTCGGCGCGCCGGCCTGTCCGTTCCCGGATCCGCCAGCGTGGGGAGCGGCGTGCCGCTCCGCAGCGCTGGGCCGAACCCGCACCGTCTGCCCACCGTCCCGAGTAAATCATCTGACCCCGCTCACGGTACGCCCGGCCGCCCTGTGATCACATCTCTCTGACGTCCTGCTCACTCGCCTGTTTTCTTGGTCGTCCATGCCTTCAAGCCATGATCTCGTCGGGTCCAGTCATCGTCCCGCAGGTCCTGTCGCGCGCCGCCTCCCGAGCCCGCACCGAGTGCCGCCGTTTCATTCCTGCGACGTCCGATTCTGCTGACCCTGACATCTCCCGTAACGCCGGTGTGTACCGCAGGTCCTGACCAGGAAGATCCGGGGATCCCTTTTCAGCTGATCCCGTATACTTACGTTGCCTGTGACCCAAAGACCCGATAAAGTCGCGCCCGTCCCCCGGGGATACCACGACAGTCTAAAAGCTTGAAACGGCAGTTTTAGTTTCGGTGTCCCATGTCCCATTCTTTTCCTTCCCGGGTTTGCAACGATTACCACCCGTCTTTTGATGGTTTGCTGCCACCTCGAGTCCGGGCCCGACAGGGTCCTGCGCTCGGCAAACCCAAGCCGGGCCGAAATACTTTGTTAGTCCCCCGTCGCAGCGGCCATGTCGTCTCTCCACGCCTGGCCCGTCTCGCCCTCTGGTTTGTGTTCGTCCCACCGCCCGTCTCGCCCGGCCCGGCCCGGCCCGCTCCGTCCGACCGCCCGCCCGCCCACCCCACCGACCGCCCGACCGCCCGACCGATCCCGGTCCGCCGCGCCAGCCCTAATCCGCGCCGCCTCTTGTCTCTCCCTGCAGCGTGGAGATGCACAAAGCCAACCTGGAGGGCAGCCAGGCGGAGGAGGAGAGCAGCAGCAGCGGCGCCGGTGGCAGCGGCGGCGCGCTCAACCCGTCCGCTATCCCGCTGGCCAACCTCCTCAAGAACCCCGGCGCCCTCAACGCCCTGTCCGCCCTGACCAACATCAACTTGAGCTCGCTGGGCGGTCTGCAGGAGCTGCTGGGCGGCAGCGGCGCCGTGCAGACCACCGGCGTGCACAAGAAGACGTACACGCCGCGCATGCAGCGCGCCCCCGGCGGCTCGTCCCCGCCGCGCGACAAGCGCAACAAGTTCCAGCCCTACTAACCGGCCCGCCCGCTCCCCTCCCGCGCCCCTCTCGCGCCCAGTCGGCCATGTGCGCGCTCGTGGCGGCCGCCGCCGCCGCCGCCCATTAGATGTGTAATGTAGCCCGGGCCGCGCGCCGTAGGGGCGCAGGGGTCTGGCGGCAGCGCGGCCGGGCCCCGCCGGCGGCGGCAGACACTCGCCCCCACCCCCACACCCATCCTTATTCTTAGCGGTACATTTTTGCGCCTGTATGTTTCCATTGAGCATTAGCGAGGATCATGGCACGTTTTTCGGAGTGGTTTAGCCGCCGTCAGAAGGCTGTTTTGGTGACCGATCATGCGGTTGTCGCGGCTCTTGTTTTGATTTCAACCGTCCGCTATCGCGTATCGATTTTCATTGTCTATGCGTCTATACGGGACGTGCTCTTTTGACCGCGTTGCTCTGTAGTGGCCAAGGCCGTGTTCAATACAGAATCATGTCTGACAGGGGCGCTGTTGTTCGGCGCCTGGCGAAGTCTTGGCGATGCCTTGATGGCCATGCGGGGGGTGCGTTACGTGCCCGTCAGGAAGCCAAGATTGCTGGGTGTACCCCGCCCAGGCGCTTTCCCCAGTTTGGTCGGGAACGATGCCACCGTGGGCTGCTGTAGGCGTCAAACCGCATGTTGCTTTTCTCGTTTCTGTTGAATGGTGGCTCTGGCTCGGTCGTAGCGCATTTACGAGATTAACCGTGAGGCACACTGCCGCAATTCTTGAGAAAGTCTGGCCAGAGTCGGACGGTGGTTATTCGTAGGCCCCCGTAGACATGCAGGACCTTCGGCCCGGGTGAGGGTCACCGCTTGGTGGGACTTGGAGCCCCTCCCTCTGCCGGGCCTGTGACCTGGGTCTAGCCGGCCCGATCGCCCGCGGGGCTGTTGCAGGCGCGAGCGGTCGCGCCGGCCTTGTAGCCTTGCTTTGCATTGAAGAAATGATCCCTCTCATTCCGGTTTCGTCCGAGCTTTGTAGCGCCGCGACCGGGTGGAAGAGAGTAGGTAATTAAGTGCTATCCAGCCAAATGTGCAGCCCTGATCCCAGAACCGACAGGGTTCGGCGCCAGCTCCTGATCCAGTGAGCGAGCCTGTGTTTTTTAGGGGCAAGGCGCATGCGAGAGGACACAAACAGGTGTTAACGGGCATTCGTGGTTTGCGGGGCCGTCAGTGGCCCCTCGCCGGCGTCGGACGATCCTGGTCGGGGTGTGGAAAGCTGTGACGTGTGCTGCTGGGGCTGGCGGGGCGGGGGAGGGCAGGAACGCATCATTTTGTGTAACCGCGCGTCGTGTATTATGTTTGCTGTCTTCCTTGGCGTCCATTCTTACCACAATAAACCACCACCACCACCACATCGGCGGCTGGTGTGCCAGATCCGCGCGGCGGTGACGCCCGCGTCCTGGTGCGTGTCCTCGTGCCGCCCGAAGTCCGTGGTCCGCCCCGGTGCCGCCCAGCCAGCGGCGGCACCCGTCCGAGAGACCGCACCCCAATCATCTGCCCGGTCCGACGGCGCCAGGTAAGGAGCTGGTCCCGGCTCGCGCTGCCCCGTCCCCGCCCGCACGGCGCCGTTCTGAGAGACACCGTCCATGCCCGTCCTGCAGCCGGCCGGCGCCAAGCTGTGTCGTGCCGGCGCTGAGGGCGCTGGCGGTGGCAGCGTGCTGGCAGTGGTGTGATGCGTCTGGTGTACAGCTGCCGGTGGCGCGAGTCTGGCAAACTTCGAATATCCGGAACTAAGCCCTGTCGAGCCGGCTGCAGGCTCATGCGGCCCGGGCTTGTGCGGGGTGGCCTGGCTGCCGCGGGTCATCGGGCTGGCCCGGCCGATGTTCCGCGGCGTTAGGGTGATTGTTCCCAGGGGGCTGCTGTAATGAGTAATGTGATGCCTGTTGGCCCACGGACATGCTGGAAAAGCGAGGGCTTTTCGTTGTCCGTGGTCAATTGTCGAGTAGTGGTGTGTCAAGGGGGTTCCCGCGAGATTTGCTGTTGCATCTGCGTTGCTTTCATGACGCATGGTTTGTCAGTCAAAAAGGCTGGTACCAATTGGAACCTCTAGCTTTAGGAATGTCTTGTGTCCGACACGCGAAGCTTTGGTCCTGATCGAAATTATGTTACCCATCTTCTAGCGCTAGGGGTGAAATCGTGCTATTCTCGCCGTGTTCGGAGGAGTCTGAGCTCCATTGGCCTTCCTCGAATCCGCCCAACCATTTCTGTGATGGGACAGGAGCCCATTAAGTCGAAACGCGACTCGCCAAGAGCAATTTTACTGGATTCAGCGTTGAAAATTACAGCCTTTGATCCGAGTAACAGTGTGTCAAGGTCCGAACATAAACAGGCAACACCTACTTATGTTCGGACATTGAATGGTCAAGAACTTATTGTTGTTCGGACCTTAGAGGTCAGGAACCTTTTGTTGTCTGGACCTTAAAGACCAAGAACCTTTTGTCGTTCGGACCTTAAAGGCCAAGAACTTCTTGTTGGGGCCTCAAATCTGATACCTACTAGCATGACTGTCGGCGCTCATGTTGGGTCACAGCTTCGTAACGTAATGTTCGTTCCGTACGGACTTTGCTGGCATAGAGCTTGACATGAGGCTTCACATTTTACGTCTGTTATGCTAGTCCCTTAAAACGCATGTTTTTTTAGGATTATATGCCCTCGTTTGCCCCTTCACCCCATTTCTCAGTGTTGCCGTTCTGCAAAAGTGCAGTCTTTTTCGTTCTAGTTCGGCCTGATACATTTTCTCGGCTGTCGATCTTTATTCTTGCCCCCACCTGGCCATGCTTGTTTTATCATATGACCTCTTAAGTATACTGCTTACGATATGTCGTTAAATACATGATCTGGATAATCATATCAGTAAACTGCACCCAGGGTCTTTATTAATTTATGTGCGGGGAAATAACAACCGGCCTGGTGTCTCCCCCATTCGCTCACAGCTGTCTACTCTGGTGTAGCCCCATCGTATGCTGCGGCCAGGTCACTGCAGCTTTTTGTCGTCTTTATCTGAACGCGAGAATAAAGTGGCCTAAATCCGCGGAGCAATCGGACTTTTGGGGCAGTTACGCGAGCCCGTACTTGGAGTCGGCTACGTCCTTGGTGTGTCTCCCTGTCTACCCAAGTTTGTTTTCTTCTAGAAAGAACCCTGCTACACTCTGGTGTCATGATTTGTCGACCGATCTGGTGAACTCCCCCACCAGCGCCCCCGACAGCCCGGCCTCGGGCGGTCGGACAGCGAGCGCGGCGCCAGCTGACGCCGTCGTGCGCCATGTTCGAGCCTGAAGTCGTTTCTATGCCACCCTGCGGAACGGTGTTAATGTTTTCCAAAGCGGGGCGTGACTGCTCCTAGCTCCTGCCTCTCAGTCCGCTGTTCCCTGACTATCGAGACTGGAGCCCGCCGGCTTGGTCGATGCGCCCGTCTCGGGTGTTGTCACTTGCTGCCTCGCCTGCACGCGGCGCGTCCCCCGCCCCTTCCCCTTGCTGGCCGCCAGCGGCCGGCGCGCCTGACCGGCGCGCCCCGTGTTGCAGGTTCTGTCGGTAGCCGCGGCGTGCCTGACCCGGCCTGACCTGGCCGGCCGGCTGACCTGGTGACTCCGGCCAGCCGCCGCGGCGCATGCCCCGGGGGCGCGTGCACGCTGATATCACGGCTGGCTGCGTCATGACGCCCTGCGCGGGCCGGCAGCGGCGCGCTTCAATAGTTTTGTCGTCCATTTTGATGACCTGGATTGACCTAGTCTTTCTCGCGCACGTGCAATCGTTTTGTCTTCCTAAGTCTTGCTCAATGTGGGGCGCGGACGTTCTAGTCGCGACAGTCTCGTCCGTGGCTGCTTGCAGGCACGGGCGGGCGGCAGGGCTGCTCAGCGCGGACTGTCGGCAGTCCATCTCTCATTCTATGTCCGGAGCTCCCCCGGCGGGAGGGCTCCGAGGCTCAGGTCTACTTGCGTAAACATGCTTGCAGTTGCGCCATGGCGGTTCATGCATGCGGGGCGTATCCGCCGGCGCGCCGCCGTGTTTGGGGCGTCGTTGGTGCGGAGACGTAGCGTTCTTTGTTTTTCTCAGGCATTAGCAACTTTTCAGGTGATTTGTAACGGGCATTAGTGCCCAGCGCTTTCGTGTGCGCCGTTGCGGACGTGTGGCACGGTCTTTGTTATGGTTGCGCTCATTTAGACCGGCACACTGATATGCTGTTGCGTCGCCGGAAGTAAATCAAACGTAAGTGAACACAATGGAAATCCGTGGTCCCGTAACTAGTAAAGATATATTCGATTGAGTAGATGGCTTGCTTTCGGCCATAGGGCTTTAATCACAGTCACAGTTTATGTTTGGACATGTTCGTGTTCAACGTGGTCAAATATCATCGTGCGATCGCATAAATATGGCGCGTCTTGCTGATCAGATTGCGAGCAGCGAAAATCTTGAAAGGAGTTGGGTAGTTATGCACGACAAGAACAAATAGCACTCCTTGTAAAACGAATGCCAGTTTGCTGGCATTATACACGTCCTTGTTCCCTTAGCTTGCTTAAGTCATTCTCGTTTTGTATTATTTATTCCAATAACTTCGTCAGCGAGGCGCATGACATTTATACGGTTGCACGAGTTAGGTGTGTTAGGCTGAAAAATGGCATTGGATTATCGAGACCTAATGGCCATAAATTTACTCGACTGAAACATATTTTTCTAGTTGCGGGCCCGGTTTCTAGACATGTATTCAGCGGTTTAGAATGTTTGCTGTGAATCCAAACATTTGGTGGACCTGTGCAGTACCGTCGGGCGCTGGTCACTGGCTGAGATCGTGCGCAGTCAGACTGGTCTGTCGTGGAAAACGAGACAGATTTTCTGAATGTGATCAACGTGCAATATCACTGAACATATCTGGCAGCAAATATGCCTGAGGATCGTTGCATATCTAATATCCATGCACGGATATACATATTGAGATGGAGGTTGCGCGGCATCGGGTAGGGTTCATTGATAAATGTTTAAAGCCTTCTGGCGTGCAGTAGCCTTGGCTATTAAGCAAGTTAAGTGTTTTTTGAACCCTCATTTTGAGCGATTTTTCACGTCATCTGTTGCCTGCATGGTCGGCTCTCCCCTGGACCATCACCATTTGGACACTGTCCAATATTTTGAATTGTAGGATGCTTGGAGACGACCGTGAAACGGACGCTGGCTACGATATATTTTTACTGGCTTGGTATATCCGCGCGCATCATTTCAGTTGTATCGTTGCCATGGCAATGTTTGACAGCTATCTGTACCAAGGGAGTTGGTGACAGTATGTTTGCAATGGTGAGTACGGTTCTGTCAAATGTGATGCGCTTACCACGTTAGTCCTCAATATGGGTGATCATTATGCCTCGTCGTTATTTCACCGAGGTAGACTGCTCTGTAATCGCGGTACGAATTTCGTAATCGAGTCGCTGCAATGATCTGTCGGGTGTCATCGAATGTCCCCTTTTCTCAATTTTA